GTCGCAGTCCCTCAAGAGCTATTTAGGCGCGCCACGCAGTAGATGACCTCAATTCTCAAAACTCCTCGAGTAATCCACGCACCAATCTTGCAGCACTTGAACTCGCTTGACAATCACCTATAAGCAACTGTCACATCTCACACAGTGAGTGGCATACGGACAGACAGAGACTTGCAAACCCTGTCAGGGGTGACTGGACGCAGTCCGCTCTAGGCCAGCGACACACTGTCACCTGAGACAGTAACTCCGGCTTCTGTACACAATAAAACCCTCATTCGAATGGTTTCCAGTTTTACGCCCTTCTTGTTGTGTTTTCTCTTAGGGATTCAAATAGAGCGTAATTAAACGGCGACACAGTATGCTGTCACGGTTGCAACAGAAGCAGTCAATTAATCAGGGGAAAGGCTTGTAACCTAATGTGCCCGGATTAGCAGGAGTAAAGTGTTCGTGAATGAGATTACTTGCTGGCAGAAACGTAGGTAGCGATCACACTCGTTCAGGCACTTTCTCCTCTGTGCCAATTTGTCCTCAAGTGCTTGTAGGGCCTTTTCTAATGCACTGAGCTTGTCACGGACTTTCTGTGCCTCCTGCGCTTGTCCACTCTGCCCTTCACCAGGAGCGCGCAGTTGCGTCAACAGATCGCTCCCAGCCTGCTCCACCTCACTGGCCTGCGGGAAATCAAAATGGAGGGGAGACATTAGCCAAAGGAATCGGTGTAGACTGATTGTGAACATGAGGAACCTGAGGGAACATGAGGATACATACCCGCTGCTTTATGTGGACAACTTCTGCCTCGAGAACTTCGTGTTTGCTGACCTGTCCCTTCAACAGTGACTGACTCTTCGGAGGTATGGCAGCAAGTGCAGTCAAGTGGGCGTCCTTTTCCTGTATACGCTCCATGATGTCAACCCAGTCCTCATTGAAACTGCAAACGCATAACACAGCGGGATGGATTACAAAGTGTAAGGGAAAACAAAACAATTTTCGGGCCATTGATAGAAGACAGCAAATTATCGGAACCACGAGAGATTGAATTCTTATATAAAGCTAGTGAACACAACCGAACAAATGGTAGATGCTTACTTTGCTGACATTCCAGCAACAGTCACAATACACCAGAGTTAACACACAGGTAAATAACTGTTTCAGTTTCCAAGTACTCTTCATTTAACCGCTTGTTTAGTAGCCACGTTTGGTTTTGGATAAACTGAGTACTTACAGCGTTCACTGGCCTTTATTTCTTGTAAGTCCAACCCATTTCTCATCAAAATCACTAGCTACCTAACCTATGTTTTATCACCTCTTTAGCCCGTTCCTCTCAACATCTACTCTTATCAGACCCTCAATGTCGCAGACTTTCTAACGTCGAGTTCTGAGACGTGAACTGCATGTCTGGGAAAATATTGCAGCAGACTGTCTCCCAGATATGAAGAGCACCAAGGCGCGTGCCATTCTTTTTGAACTATTTCACTCGCTTTGACATTAACCGGAACCTGGGATGCTATAAAAAGCAGTTTTCTGGATTCTGAAAACAAAATTCTTTAGACAGTATATATAATTATAGCCGAAATACACGCTAAAGTTATATTTTATAGGCCAATGGAACAAACTTCCGAAAACCTCATAATGACGGACACAACAGTGGCACTCAAACAAATAGTACACGTATATTTACTTAAAAGACATCCAGCGGTGCTACCCCAAACCAACGCTTTGCTTATACCTACAACTAACGACTATATATACTTCTTTCATATTATCATTGATTCTTCAGGAAGCCTGTGGTTGATCCCAATGTTTGCCAACACAAGATTCAGAATGAATGTTACTTACGACTGTATAGTAACTTGTTTATTTATGTTAAATATTGTACCGTTTTTAATAGGGTTTTCGAAGACAACGCCAATGCCTTTAAATATACTAAACTATATACTGCATCAAGATGGTCCTGAGACTTCTTAGGGAGAATAGGCTCCAAGCTTTCACCCTGAGTATCCTACTTAGCCAGGATTTAGTGTAGCTTTAGGGTGTATGGACAGCTCACTCTATCTTCTATCGCCTGTAAAACAAAGTCACAGCATGGAAGGGTTTACTTTGTGAGCTGGCATTAGCTAGTCCTAGAACATGAGGTTGCTACGTTGAGTTCTCCTTCCAACTTTGAAACATCCACATTATCAAGCCTATTAAGAGATTCGGTGGCCATTGTCATCCAAAGTCTCCATCCTTGTACTTGTCCCATTTTGAATAAAATTCGGCTTAAGTATTCCCATAAGACTCCATACTCTCCCTCACAGTACACTGTTGGTTTCGTTGTGTACGTAAGTTACAGCTTCCAGCTCACCATAGAATTATCTATCAAGCATGGCGTATTAAAATAAGGAGGAAACTCTATCCAACAAGACGATGACGAACCTTGAGAAAAGCTTTGCATTTTCTTTGCGGTCCTCGCCGGCCTGGACCTCCTTCTGCAGCAGCTGTCGATCGCGGGTCAGACTGTCGATCTGTTCTTTGACCTGATCAGCCGCTGTTTGGGCACTCTGCTCGCTGCAAAGCGGGTACTCCATTTGAAGCGGGGTCGCAAACTCCTGCGGACTAAGATAAAAGGGGTTTTCGGGCTGGCTCAAGTCCTTCTTTCGTCGTACTGGCATTACAGCTACGTTGCCGGCATTTGTTCCGTAGGGCTGGACCAGATCGTTCCTCAGGTCGGTGCCCTCACCAATGCACTCGTCAATGCGACTGAGGAGATTGGGCAGGTCCTCAACGAAGACCTGCCAGCGCTGTCAGAAAAAAATGGAGAAAACATGACATATACATATGGTAGGAAACGATAATGCGATCGTTAAGGGGGGAGGGGGAGAGATTTACACAGTTGAGTTTCACATTCCTACTCAAACGCACTTATACTGCGGACGCCTTTTCACCGCATCCAGACACACTGTAGCACAGAGACTGAGACTCACACGAGAGCGTGAAACCCTACGGCACCTTGACGTCACCAATGGATATCCACGTAACCACATGTTTTTACCAAAGGTACAAGAAGACCGATTGTGAGCAAAAATGACCTGAAATCTTCTGTGGCTTACCCTACATGAAGAACGTCTCCGAAGCCACGGAGCGTGTGCCAGACGTGAACATTGAACACCGGCCGGAGGCCACTATCCTCCGCCTACTCATGCAATTCCAGGCTCGACCACCGCATGCGGATATGTCAGGCATCATTCGCCGCGTCAAACGTCTACACTGTTTAGTCAACTACTGCGGCAAGACCGATATAGGATTGAGAACGCCCATGCACGACCGTATGTTAACTGTAAAACCAAAGGATGTACGATTGCACGTCGCTTTGCACAGTCTAGAATATACCCATCAGTCCTATACATATATATAGGTAGATAGAAGATAAAAGTAGCAAATACAAGGACTGATTAAACGGCATTGCGAAGTCTGGTGCCATGCCTCCTATAACCTGCTCGAACTATCTTTGGAAGTGCCCAGATTACACTGGACGCATACTCGGTCTCGCATGCATCAACATAAGCTGGCCATCCGATGGAGTGATACACTATCAAAAGTAGCTGCGCACATCTTAAAATGGGTTGCGTATTAAACTTTGTAGTTGCCGGAAGCAAGGCAATAAAAGATCACAGTTCATGCCACAAACTTTAAAACATTTATTCAAGTCGGCTCTGACGTAAGATCTTCAGAGTACGGCTCTGAGACTATATATTTGCTGTCAGAAAAGAAAAAATTCTAAAGAGACGAAGACTCACGTTGGGGTCTGAACTGTTGCCGACGTTAGCAGAACTGGCAAAGGCAAGAGCTTTTGTAATATCTTCCTGTTGGTCCTCCGAAAGCTGCATGAAATCAGCGACCCAGTTTTGGAGAACGAGGGACCTCCTTGACACGATAAAAAAGTGCTAAGTGATAGGTACCGCCGAGGCATGTTAAGAATAAGTCAAATTAGGGGGATAAATGTCCACACCCAATTCCGATTCAGCATGCTTTAGTCTTTCAAGGTTAAATGCAGATTTTCCGGACTGGTGCGATAAGAATTCCATCACTGGCTTTGATTTCTTGAAGAGGAAAGAAGCTAATCGACCGACAATTCCTCCAAACCTTGGCGAAAATTGGTGTAACACTGAATATGTGTCCTCCTAGGCAAAGTTAACATTGAGTCTCAAGTCTGTAATTTCAGGTGTTTTCTTGTTTATTAGCAAAGATCGTGTTGTCTTATGCTGGTTGACCGCGTAACAATGGCATGCGTCTGAGCCATAGCTATAACTTTGCCATATTGCAGTTGGGGTCATTCAACTACTTTAGTTGAACCACTAGGGATCGGTGATAATACTGACTATACTGCTTTGCCTCAATCACAAATGAATGTTCAGGAAGGTTGTCCAGCAAAATCAAGAGACGACCAGGGTTGTAAAAGTATCCAACAGACAAGTCAAGTATAACAAGAACTTAGCAACTTTTTTCAAAAGGAGACGATCGAAGTATTGTTAATTCCTCTCCTTCTGTATGCTGCTCGATTTCCTGGTTAATGTGAAAAAGTCGCATTTATGAAGTGAAGTCCTATTGACCAGAATACGAATGCAACAATCTCCTGGAGACCAGCTTTAACAGCTAGGATGCTCGTCACTAGTTATACAGAGCTGCCTGTCACTGTTTTGCAACGCCGCTGAGTAAATTACGTCTTCAGGTTGTGCATTCGATGAATTGTATGATAATAGAATTCAAAAAGTGGGACGAACTTTGCTGCACTGATGCGATCTTTGAGATCCTGCAGAGCGTCGATAACATGTTTTCGACCCTTTTTCAACGGCTTACTCAGCGTAGATCGGTCATGCTGCATGGTAGCCAGCTTTTGGTCCACTTGCTGACTAAGATCATTGATCACAGGCTCCATCTTCTGGACCGTCTCCTCGATTCCCTGGTTAAAGAGAAAAAATCGCATTTTAGAATTTGTTCAAATGTTTTATTTTTACGGAACAAGTAGTTAAAACCCCGACTGTTCGCCCGCACAACAGGGAAATTTCTGGAGCTACCGTGAGCTGACCGACTTAAGGGGAGAAGCTTTCTCTGAAAGGGATGTGCTACTACAGTAGTCGCCGGTTATTAAGCCCACGGCTAATAAGCCCAGCCGCGTATTAAGCCCCAAATTGGGACGGAATTAACATTGCAAAATCCGCCGGCTAATAAGCCCAGTCGCCGGATAAAAAGCCCAGTTTGCCAACAGGATAGAGTGAAATTCTCATCTCTCTGCGTGCGCAACTGGTAATGTGTCGCAAATAATTTTTTTCTTTTTGTTATTACGTAAAATACAGACAAACAGCATTCTTTTCGACTGAAATTCTCATCTCTCTGCGTGCGCAACTGGTTACGTGTCGCAAATAATTTTCTTTTGTTATAACGTAAAATACAGACAAACAGTATTCTTTTGTTGTACATAGCCAAGCTCTACACATAATACAGTACGTATGTAATGTATAGTG